CTGAAATGCTGGAGAACTTCAAATTTGAGCCGTCGGAGGATACTAACGCAGTGGTAGCTGGTCCTGGACTTTTCTCGAGCCCTCGGCTGCTGGGGCGGGGAGGCGACGCACAGATGCCTTTGATTGTGACACCGCTTCGTTCATAGGAAAAGAAGTAAAATAGAAACAATGTTATGATAAGTCAAGTCCTCAAACTTCATGGTCCGTCTTACGGTCGCGGACAAACTAACTCGCTCTGTGCCTCTTCGACGCGACTGCGAAAAGGGAATTGCCCAAATGTGTTCACCTAGTAATGCTCTCGATAGATCAAGGGAATGAGGCGGCTCTTGTGGAGAGCGAACAACCAAGTCCAGAACTGACGCATCCTATCCACCCAGGTCAGAGTAAAGTCACTCTGAGGCTTGAATAATGCGCGACGCTCTGCTTGGGAGTTTAGATGAGAAAAAGGATCAAAACATATACACACCAGAGTCGACGACGATGAAGTGCGTTTTGGACAGGCGTCGCATCAAGATGTACGTCCCGGGAAGGAACGCACTCCCATCGAGGGCGGGAAGGAGATCGTCGTCGTGCATTAGCATGACTCGGATGTGAGTATACTATCAGAGTGTTAGATGCATCGCATTTTCAATGAGACATCCGGCACCTGCAAATAGACTTGCTCTAAAATCTCCCGACAAGGGTCATGACACTACTCGTAGGTTATCCGTTGGAAACGATGGTAAACGGCGAGCTTACTGGTGACAGGACCGGTGCAGACATCCGAACCGACTCTATGTGTGGACGCAACCAAGCTGGAAGCATGTGCCACAGCTTCTGTGCAATTGTATTGGGAGTAACAAGAGTGTTGAATAAGGATGGAGATATTGAGATGCGAAATCCGCGCCAAGTCGCGGTGCAGTTGCGCGGGTGAGAGGCAATGGGACCGCTGAGGTTAGACCAAGTCGTATAGTCGAAAGCCTCGGTGCCATCGCGCGCGTTATCTGCCCTCTTGAGCTCCTGCACTGGCGAGAAGTCGGTAACACCTGAAGCAGGATAGAACAGGCGTCTGCCAGTGTAGTGGTAGTTGCGGTTGAAAGAGTAGTAGACACCGAGACCATAGTGGGCCATTTTCAGGCATCCAGTGGTGACAAACATGTCGCCGTTTTCGAGGTCGATGTTCCCTGCGTAATGGCGGTACAGCTCAATCGCATTGTGCAGAGCCCATTTTTGCAGCTTTCGCGCTCCGTTCTCTGTGCATTCGTAGATTGTAGCGCCACACGGAAGCGCCAGATACCCTCCCTCATGCGCATGAGCCGAGATCGAGAGTGACCTACGAAAATCTGGAAATGAGAATGGCTACAACCGACAGATAGAGAGATCTACCCACCGTATAGGACCGTCTTCATTATTATCAGTAGTTTCGAAAGGATGACGTAAATCGTTAGTGCCGCCTATCACACATGGTGTGGGAAAGCGATTGTCGTCGCGCAGGTAGTCGACGCCTTCTTTGAAAGTGACCGGAGAGTAATCCTTGAGTCGAACTCTGACTTCGCCTCTGTCAAGATTTCTCGGGGCTTCGGGGGGAAGCGTAACATTCAGGCCAATATAGCTGACCGTGCCGTCTGTTCGGTGTATAGCCAGGTCTCCCACGCGGGCGCCAGTGGGAATGTACGCGTCTGCGTAAGGCGGATTTGTGCGTGGAATAGGGTTGTATGAAGAGAAACCACGGTTCTTTAGATACAGAAAGCGGTTGTAAGTGTCTTGTTCTGTCCGCTTCACTGCCATCACTTCGGAGGATGATGGTAGGAGAGAGAAAGCGGTGATCGAACACATGCCATTGAATGCCCGTTGAATGCAGAGGCCGGCGTGCCTAAGCTGCCTTTGTGCTCAAATCGTATTTCGTTTGAACCCACTTCTATCCTCGAGCATGTAACGAGACTGTAACCGTGTCACTTACGCCATTGTTTGGTCATTCGAGTGAGCACCAGTTCCCAGGCTAGCAGCAACCATGGGTCGCCTTTTAATTTAACACTTCTCATACTCACGGGTGTAGCTTCGTTTTTCCCAATACATTCTATTCAAAATTGTACTCATGTATCGTATAAAATGAGGCATATCGCACCGTTCCAGGACAACGTTCACTGATTTCCCCCATGATTCCCCTCGACGAAGATCCGAACAGTCCTCCAGTTACATACGCTCGCTGTCTGGCCTCAATGCTGGGAGGCTTTCCGTTTTTCGAGCCGCGCTCCATACAGTTGCGCTCGCTGAGGAACTTCAGGAAGACTGGCGCGTCATATCCGTATGATCTATCATACATCGGACAGAGGTCTCTTCTCAGTTACATCTACTCTGTTGGATCACACGAGGCGCACCCGAGGAATTTGGACGACGACAAGAACGGTCTCGCGCCTCCTTGGCACGAGCCCTACATGAATGGACTAGCACTGTACACACCCTTCGAGAAACCCGGCGATGATACTATCATGACTTCTGGCTGGAGTTTGACCCGCACACAGAGCGCTGTCGCTGGAGGTGTCTCGTGAGTCTAGGCTTTTGTCCTGTTCTCCTCCAATTTCTCACACTCGAAAGCCTTGGCGAGACTCGCTTCGACCTCAACACCAAATTTATTTGCGAGACACACGGTACCACAGGCGCACTTCTGACTACACCTGGGGACAACAACATCGAATACAACATTGAGGACTCGTCCGCCATTACCAACTACATCAAAGCAAACAGCATTGCCTGGTTCGAATTTTGCAACGGTCAGCGAATGTTGAACGCTGCACACGGAAACCTCTACTTGCTCACCTACGTTGCCAAGACTGCGCAGTTCGAGAATGCCGTGTATGTGGGGAACGAGAAGAGCAGGGTCAAGGAATTTTCCTCTACGCTGTCGGTCTTCGGCCTCGGGGCTGCCGTAGGCGGCGGCAAGACAAAGGCTGACGGAAAGACAGGCGCTAAGCTCAACAGCGCCGAAACATCGAATCATGCCTGGATGGTCACGGCTGCGCAGGGATGGATGGTGCGTCTCGTTCATTGGAGGCTTTTCCTCCGTGACACTGGAGTCTCTGTTGAGGCACAAGCCGATGCTCCAACCTATTCGATGGCGCCGAGCGATGGTTTGGAAACTATTCGCATTCCTTTCAAGAGCGATGCAGCGACCACTGTGATTCGCGCACCTCCTTCGAGGCCTTTCCCAGGGTCCTCGTCCAAGAACGATGGTGACCGCTTTTGGGACGGTTCGGATAGCGAGGAGGAGGATGGCAACGGTGGTGGGGGTAGTGGAAGCCCTCCGCCGGATGGCAGGCATTCTTCGTCGGGTGGTGGTGGCATCTCAGCTCTTTGGAAGCGCAGCCGAAAGCCCAATGTTACCGCGATCAATACACTTGCTGGGGGCGGGCCCAACGATGAAGGTGGCTCGGGACGTCGAGAGGCAAGGAAGTGTCCAACCTGGATGAACCTTTACTGAAACCAATCACAGGCCGTCCGGGCCCATGAACAGCAGCTAAATGACTACAGATCTCGTCACGCGTTGCGTCGTGCTGCTGGCCGTGGTCCTAGCTCAAGGACGGCGGCTGCCCGGCAGGTATGCACACGGCATGGGATATACACAATTCTCAATCGCTCACCAGGAAGCTGTGGATGCTCTGGCCTCAATGGAAAACAATTTACCCAGGGTGGTCGACCCGTGCGCCCTGTTGGGGTATGCACCGACGCGAAGCGTGCACCTCATTCACGATGATCGGGTAAGAGCCTTACATCCTCAAAACTTTCGATGATGCTGACTGAAGAGCAGCCTTATCATCCGCTTTACGAAATCATGGACTCTATGTCCGAGTCTGTACGCTTAACCTTCGTCTATCGCCCTCGCACGCTAATGTGTACCATCCAAGGCACCATGGGCCCGCTTCAGTCTGGCGCACGACCAAGATTATCTTTCCGTTTTGAAGAAGGTGATCTCTACCATTTGAGCAGGAATTACCCTATTTAATACTATTCACTACAGGGTGAAGTAGTACCGCTTGGAAAGGAGCTTGTCTCACGTGTGGCAAAGAAATATGTCGTTGAGGTTGACAAAGGTACGCTGTCTTCAGCCTGCACTGGTCATGATTTGCTTATCCTTTGGGCAGATGGCTTCGCCTGTTTAATCGACCGTGAAAAGCACCAGCTGGTGGATGACCAGCTGGGTTTCGTTCTGAACATGTATCGCAAGGCAACGGACGTTGACACTGGCTTCGACGTTGTGCGCACATCCAACATTCCATCTGTATTTCCCATGACTCCTTCTATATGACTTGGAATTCACATATCGCGCAGACATATGTGTTGTTCCCGCCCGTCCACGGCGGCCACCTTGACCTTCTTTGGACCCAGTTGACACCAAGAGCAGTCGACTTGCGTACCGCGCAGCAGCATAATAGAACCCAGTTCTATGAGATCCTACATGCGTTCTGCATTGAGCACGCCTACACCGACCCGTCTCGCGGCTACTGCTTCATCAGGCCCGACCGCGAGGATACCAACTACGACTATATCAGTGGATCTTGGCAGTGGGCCATTTGGGAGTCAATGGGGCAGCCGCCGCAAGATGAGACTGCTGAGATCAACTTAGCCGCTGACATGAGTGGGCTAACAATGAGTTCCGCCGCGCAAGGTGAGTATATGATGAAACTTTGGCTTTAGTATGCATCGAGATTAACTTCATGCATAGCACGCGCTGATGAAGAAGAGAGGAAGAAGAGGAAGAAAGTCAAGAAGGCAAAGGTGATTGTTCTCCGCGAGTAGGCAGCTACAGTATCGACATACACTGGTATTTACTACGCTGTGTTTTTCGCATGTAAATCTACTCTCGAATTGTTTATAGCACTCCAGTGTCCACCGAAGTCTGAAGCACGGTCGACCGTCGCCATATACGGTACTGGCATTGTGCAGCTGCACGCGAGAGACTTCTGATTGAAGATCCAAATTCAAAAAATTGAAAGTAACCGCATTGCACAAATGTTGTCGAAAAAGGGCTCCAACGGGAATTGAACCCGTGACCTCCTGCAAGATCGAATCGCGCAATGCGCAACCTCCCAAAGCAGGAATCATGCTACTAGACCATAGAGCCGATATCTGCGGCCTTGCGCAATGCATTCTGTTCGAAAGACACCTAGCAAACCGTGTAATTGCTGCTCCAACTAGTCCTAGCCGCTGCAACCAACTTGCCCATTTTCTTTTTGTCTTTTTGGCTGGGTAGAGTAGTTTGATTTCCTACGGTGCATGCCGCAGAGTGCTGCTCGCACTTGTGGGCTTGAGATGCGCGTATGTCATTTTGCAGCAAATAAATACATATATATTAAGCAGTATCATAAACTGACCGCTGGGAACCACGGGTCCACATTTACATCCCACTTCGAGTTCTGCTTCCAATCGAACTGCTCGTCTACCAATTCCGGTAAATGAGTGCATAGATTCTCCGCCGTCGCTATCAGTTTCTCAACAAAGGGCCTACGTGCGCCCGAGCCTTCGACAATCTTCGTTAAGATCTCTAAGGCAATTGCACACGATGCGCGCGGGGACGCTCGCGAATCCTGCGTATAGGTAAGTAGGTAAGTAAGGGCAGACCTGTGTAGCAAGATCTCATACCTGCATAACGGCGTCTCGTTCTGGCATGAACTTGAAGAGCTCTGGATGGCCGACTGGGCGTGCGAGAACATCCTGGTAGTCTGGCCGAAACACCCACTTGAACCTTCTCATAAAAGTGTGCTTGTATGTGGGCCAATCGAACGGTATACATGGCGCTAGTGTCAGATACATGCCGATGCACAGGTGTTGAATGGCAGTCATGAATGAGCGGCGGAACGCCAGCTCGCGCGCCAGACTCGATACTGTCCAGTATTCAGTCGAGAAGACACACACCAACAAGAGAACGTACTGGGGTTGACCAAGGCTTCCACTGTGTCGATCGCTAGTAGCTGCTGCTCTACCAGCTGGGCAGTGTACCAATACGCAAACGGTCGCTCGTTCGCGGCATATAACTCAAGTTGAAAGCCCGAGAGGACGATCTCCTGCAAGATGTTCATTCGCCAAATGAGGACAGCCTTTGGGAGTTTGGTCATGATGCGGATATCGGCAGCAGTGGAGGGGTGGGTATTCGATGCGATACGGAGAAAGAGGTCGTACAGAGCGTGCCACTCGGATGCCAGGTTAGCAAGGATACGCCGTCTTCGAGGGCCATTGTCCCAGGCCGCTAGAATAGTGGGTATGACCGTCTGAAGCCTGTTAGTATCCATCAAGCATGAGGAGGTGGGAAGGTCGCTCTACCTTGGACATTAATCGCTCTATTTGACTCAGCGGCACAGGCGTTTTCGCGGTCCAGCTATCTTGGATGATCCGGTACACATGCGCCTGTGCAATTCCGACGGTCTCATTGAAGAAGGACTGGGTGACCCAAGCTGAGCCATACTTCCCCAGGACGATAAGACCGTTATAGAAGATTGCCTGCGTAGAGGCCCGGACGTACGCCGGACGCTCAACTCCCAGCCACGTTCGAGTGAGCCCAGCTGTCTCCCAGGCCGTGAGACTGTGCGAATATGCGAGCGTGGCCATTTCTTGCCAGCCATCGAGAAGGCGCTGAATGGCATCCCATGAGTGTTCCACTGGAGGAAGCTCGAGAACACGGATCGGGATGAAGGTGACCAAACGACGGCCAATGTAGGGGTCGAACGCCAGATGTGCAGGCGAATCGCGGGATGGAGCTGGAGCTGAGTGTTGACGCACGTATGCCAATGCGACGCGGGCTTGAGACAGAGTAGCTTGGAAGGTTTGTGGATGATCGAAAGCACTGGTGTTCATGAGAAGGAGCATGGACTAAACTTATGAGTACGCGCGGAGCAGGCGAGAATTGTACACACCTTCCGTAGATATAAGCGTGCGGCTAACTGCTCTTTCCAACTTGGAGCAACTAGGGGGGAATCAGCTTGAGATTGACTTGTGCGGCGAACGTACTTTTTGATGTTGTGGATAGCCAGGCCAAGGTATCGTCGAGCTTTGCCAATGCCGCTTTAGTCTGATAGCCCTCCAGCAGCGACACTTCGCACTTGTCTGACTGCCAGTCTTCACTCTAGAAGGTGTTGGTCTTGTGATGTACAATGCATTACTATAACATACGTCGTGGAGTGAGCTTCGGTTCAGCTTGTCCCACACGGCACCGCAGCATTTGAGGAGACCAATGATATAGGTTTGGAGGATAACCGAGATGAGCTCTATGGGACGTCTTGGGTCTTGGGAGCCGCTGTGTCGGTGGGAAACCATATCCGGGTCGATTTGGCCAAGCTCATGGATGTAGACAAGTGTAAAGACAGTGGTTGAGAGAAGATTGCCGGCATGCCATTCCATCTGACGAGTTAGTACACGCTTCTGGGCTGGCACAAGGACACACCTCATATGCACATGCTCTGTCAATGATCCAACATATTTCCTCAGGAAGCAAGGGGGCAAGCGCGTCAAAGGGTGGTACAGACGAGGATACCATTCCGCTGTCGAGGCGCGGCTCTCCAATCTGGGTGAATATGAGAATCAAGATTTATCGCCCGTTTGTGTAGGAACCTCGAGGGCGCTCATGGCTTCCAAAAGGGTGAACCCGTCCATCCACACTGTTTCTCCGGGCTGCATTTCTGGGGGGGAAGGTGAGCATGTCGTCCAAGTATGGCTGCCAATATTACCTGCCGAGGCCGCGGAGAATATATCGCGGACATCCTGGAAGTCGTCGCCACCAGGCAAGTCCATTTCGCGCGAAGATGAGGGTGATGAGGCAAGATCATGAGGCAGGCAGTGGCTGTGTTCCGGCATCTTTGGCCGAGCACGCGATCGGTGTCAATAATGCTTCCCCGACGACTTCCATCATGCGCGTCCGCGCTCCGAAAGGCGTATTCCACCGCGCCGGCGACCGCGAATAAACGTGTTATTTTGTCGGGCATTCAGCCTACGGGAACACCACATGTAAATTCTAGATAAATAAACCAACACTAGCTCATCCATTCCGCAAGCTAGGAAACTACTTTGGCGCTCTAACCAACTGGGTGCATATGCAGAACACTGCTGGGCCGGAAGACGTAATGCTCTACGCAGTCGTAGGCTGGCATGCTCTCACACTGCCTCAAAACCCCGATGCGTTGCGTGCTGCCCGGAACGACATGCTCGCAGTTCTACTTGCCATCGGTCTTGACCCAAAGAAATCAATAATATTTCACCAAGACCATGTAATACATCCCATCTATCCGTCTTCACTTTCTTATGCTATTTCGCAGAACCAAGATCATACCGAGCTCAGCTGGATTCTCAGTTGCATGACCTCCATGGGACATCTCTTACGAATGACCACTTGGAAAGTCCGTTACCTGTGCTCAAATGCAATGTCATTCTGACCCCCCGTTTAGTCGCGCTTTGCGGATTCCAAGAACATGCAGGCTCATGCTTCAATAGATGAAGGCGCTATGAATGCTGGACTTCTCACCTATCCTGTTCTCATGGCTGCGGATATTCTGACTTACAAGTACATCTACGCGTTCTCGTCTCTCTTTCCTTCTGACACCTTTGGCAGCGCAACACATGTCCCTGTTGGCGACGACCAAACTCAGCACTTGGAACTTGCTCGCGACATCGCTGAGCGGTTCAACAAGACGTATGGCCATGTCTTCACTCTGCCCGGCATAATAAAGAGTACGCAAAATCGCACCTTCACTTCATCATACTCATGTATAGCTCAGCATCATCACAACGTATCCTTTCCTTGCGCGACCCGACAGCAAAAATGTCCAAGTCCGCTCCAAACGCAGCCTCGCGCATCCTCCTCACCGACACTTACGACCAAATAAAGGCCAAGATCCGCGCGGCAGTCACCGACTCTCTTCCTGGCATCACCTACGATCCCGTTGGGCGCCCTGGCGCAGCAAATTTACTCACCATTCTCGGCGCGTGCACTGGGGAAAGCCCTGAGGTCGCTGCTCAGCGATACGAGGGGAAGAACTTTGGAGCACTCAAGAGTGATTTATTGGAGACGCTCAATGAGACGCTGAAAGTGCCGCGTGCAGAGTTCGAAAAAATTAAGGCGGACCAGGCTTATCTGGAAGGCGTCGCCAAAGACGGTGCGCGCAGGGCAAGGGAATACTCGTCGCCCATGCTACAAACAGTCAGAAAAGCTGTTGGACTAGCGTAATGCTGTTGGTCTCTACTTTTTTAGTTGACATTGGTATGACGTTAATCACTCAGTTCAGATTGTACACAATGGCAGTATCGTAGCATTTTTTTGACCACGCAAGAGCGCAAGCGAAAGGACGAGTGCATGCACCCGTTGAAAGATTTAGAGAGTCGGTAAGGTACTGATTTCGTAGATATAGGAATGTCAAATTCTGTATGTCCAAAACTCTCTCTTGGACCAAGCACATCGACTGGCATTTACTGACATGAGTAGACAGTTAGCCTATATCAGATTGTAGTTGCTTTGTCGCCACATAGCTGCAAGATAACTAATCAATATTTCGTGGACGCACTGAGGAAGATGATGACGCTTACCTGCCGTGCTCAGCTTGAAATCAACACCTCCATCCATGGCTTGCTGTATATTCGCGCCGGCCTCCGAAAGCATATTATCAGGTTTTTTTATGTGTATCGGGTCACTCCCGATATATGCAACGGTGATGTGGAACGTCTTCAAGATGGCCTCGTCTCCCAACATTCTCGTGCGTATAATATTCCATAACGCGTTCACATCGGATTGCTCGAAGTCACAATTTTTTACCACTCTTCTTGGTTCAGTTTGTGTCAAATTCACGAAGAGCGTGTTGAGGTTGGGTAGGTTGGATGATGTGCCGACAAGGATGTTGCGGAGACCTTTGACAAGCACGTTCGCAGTATCGTCGTCTTGCAGTGCCGCTTCCCAAGTCAGAAAGCGGAGGGTGTTGAGGTAGGGGAGAAGAGGCCCAAAAGAATTCACGTCGCCTGCGGAAAAGCCATCCCAGTGATATTGGTCAACCGTGAGTTCCACCAGATGACAGTTCGAATCATGCAGAAGTGCTTCCACCCGGGCGACACTTCGCAAGTCCATGTCCCCAGTGTCACCTATCATGA